AAAATTAGAGAGGAAGAAAAATCATGAGAGACTCCTAACTCTGGGAAACAAAGGATTGTGGGTAGGGGGGATAGGGTAACTGAGTGCCAGGCATTAAGGAGGGCACATGATGAGATGAACATTGGGTGTTATACTATATGTTGGAAAATGGAATTTAAATTAAAAAAAATAAAGAGGTGCCCTTGTCCTAATGTGCATAGGTAATGTTGGAAGTATTGAGTCACAATATTGTATACACAATACTAATATAATATGGTGTGCAAACTAAATGGAATTAAAATAAAAATTAAAAAAAAAACCTTATGAAACATCCAAGTCCATCATTCTCCTAAGTTAGTTCCTATAGCATTTTATAACAGAGATCATATCTATTTATTTGACTTTTGGTAAACTCAGGCACATGAAATTTCTCATTTTAGTGCTGATAAGGCAGTAAATATATGCTTATTTTACTTAAACCCACAACCATGCTCAGATCATGTAAAGTTGAAAGACATTTGAGTTAGTTTCTATTTCTGAGAGTTTTAGAATGCCCAGTCCTCATTGTTTGTGATTGTATTCAAATCAAGGAAATGAGCTATTTACAAATTAATTTTGGCAACACCATCCAGACAGAAAAATATCTCACACTGACAACATATATTTATGGACACACAGACTGCTGCAAAGACCCCAGAGTCACTAATATTTGGAGATAATTTCAAGATTTGTATTGTCTCTGGAATTATTAAGGAGACTAGACTAGAATTGAGGCACAAAAGCTCTTTAGCAGTTCATATTTTAGAAAGGGCTCTTTCTTTTTCTTTCCCTCAGTCTCAGGCATTTGTGGGTTATGCTTAAATTTTAAAGAATTAGTAGGATGTAGAGTTTTAAAGACAAAGAAGCAATGTATGTTCCTCCAAGAATGCTTTTGCCTTCCTAAAGCCAATCATTTATAAGCCATTTTCCATAAATAGGAGAAGCTTGGGAATAGGTAAAAGAATAGAAGAACTTTGAATTGCCTCAAGAGCTGCATTTCTACTTCTGTTAAGATTTGTCAGGATAGTTGCTCTGAGTTTCTTAAAGACTTGATTTAGGTGAAATGACACCATAGTTTGATACAACCTATCAGAACATATGAGCCTCAATTTGCTTTCTTACCTCTGGGTACATAGTTTGAATTTTAAGGATTTCTGGCAGCATGGAATAATCTCTCTTGGGTGTAAAATGGATCCCTAAAGAGGATGCAAAGGATATTATCTTCCCAAGATCCAGAGTCACTCAGTAAGAGTCAAAGGAAAAACCAACAGGCCACACGTCCCAGGTAAGCAGAAAGCTAAGAGCAGTTATGCAGGATGACACAAAAGAAGGAAACAGCTCTCTCTACGAGAGAAAGGATCAATAGCAATGGGTCTGGATTTGGAAAGAATGGGACTACAAAAATTTTACTATCCCCGCTGGACTAGGCACCATGGAGAGAGATTTGGAAGGAGCTACTTCTGTTAAGAGTTTCTACTCTTCCCTGGCTACTGCCAGTTTTTCTAGGATCCCAGTGCAGGTCCTGGTATTTACCAGAATTTCCACATGGCTGTTTAGGAAAGTAAAGCACATAGCAATTTTCCAGAAACCACCCAGTTTCATCAACTCTGGAAGGGGCTCATTTGGGGCTCTCCTGTGAAGGTAGATATGGAGGTGTCTGTAAGACTATGAACTGAGCAGACTGCTGTTTATGGCTGTGTAGTCTGTTCAGAGTGGAAAATCAATTCAGACTAGAATGAGCACTCAAAGGAGCCAAAAGGGAGCAGGAGTTAGATCAGTCTTATAGTTTTCTGTTTTAGGTACTTCTTCCATCTTTAATTTTTCATTAGCCTTTTGCAATGAGTCTTTCAATAAAATGACCTTGGAATTTTAAACCTTTTGGAGGTTCTGTTTAATTGGAGAACCCTTGCTTTTAAGTGGGTTCTTAATGATTTTATCTAATTGGAAAGTTCCCCCTTTATGGCCTTTGTATTTCTAGATTATCATTGCCCTGAGGGCTGGCAACAGTTTGGTAGGATACTAGCCTCAAATGGACTTAACCCACACCCCAGTCCAAATATATCTGGCTGAAAATGAGTTATGCCCCACATTCCTGTCTGGTATTATTTTGGGGTTTCCAATTCTTATCTGGGGTTTCCAATCTGATTCCAATCCAATCCAACCAAGTCAGTTGGTTAGGACACAAAACAAGCTTTTGATATCTTGCAATTTTGCTAGGTATCCGTAATCTAGGACTATAGTTTTAAATAAAAAATTAACAGGTGCATTGGAAAGTCATGTGTTTGACTCTTTAGAATTTAAGGATCCCATTAGCTAAGACATTGGACTTCTCAGAGCTAAACTAACACCTAAAATGGTTGTGTCCTGAAATTGGGGATTGTGGGTATTTCAGAGTGTGGCTCCTTGCCCAGAAGTTTTCGTGAGGTTGATGGGTGACCTAGTGCTGATCCACCCCATTTCCTGACCAGCTACTACTATCAGGGGTGTGTTCTTGAGGTATCAAATGCTCTAACAGCCTCTAAATGCTTGACTCATGTCCACCTATTGCTGTAGTTTTTTCCACCTTTCCCTGTTAGCAGTGGCCTTTATCTACACAAATGAAGACAATCAATTAGGTGCACATTAGTCTATGGGCAGTAAGAGATGTTACTGAGTTCTGGCCACAAGAAGACTCTGTGTGCACCACCAACAATTCCCCTGAAATCTTGCTGAGATTTCCATCTCAGGAATTTGTTCTGAAAGGTTAGGGGCTTGGCTCTGGGCATATCCTTCTGCTTGTTCAGTTGAACTCTATGCAAATATGCCTGCAAACATGCTAACTCAACTGAACTCAGGCATAACACTCTGCCAGCCTAAGCTGATCTTCCCCGTAAAGCAAAGCCGATCAGATTAGAAGTCAAAACCCAGAGAGTGGAGCTTGGAACCAGGGAGAACTCACCCACAGTGCTTGGAGCAGGTGAGAAAGGTTGTGAACTTAGAGGGCTCACAGTTACCACCTGTCTCTTCCTCCTTGTCTCTGAATGCCTCTGGGAGTCCATATTGGATTGAATCGCTGCCACCAAAACTGGTAAAGAACAAAAATTTAACCAAGCAAATGTTAAAGATCTAATGACTCTATTAATGGATCAATTTATGACTAAGGTCATCTGGCAAATAGAAGGGAGCTCTAAAGGACTATGGGGATGGAATACTTTTTACAATAGAGTGTGAGTGGAAAAAAGGGAATTTTTAGCAAATAATCCATTGTTTTAGGCAAGGCCACTCTCCCAAGGTGAAGAAAGGGTCAATCAGGAAACTTCCTGGGGCTGAACAGGAAATTCCCATGTGGACTGGTTAAAGGTTATTCTTCCGGGGGTTGAAATTACACTTGGGTTAGGTATTAAGTTTTGGTTTAGTGACTTGGGGCTGTAAGCCAAGTGTTTCCTTTTTGGGTCCGTGGGTTTTTTTTTCAACACTCCAGAAACACAAAGACTTACTTCAGAAATTCAGATTTGTATATAGCAAAGCTCTTCACAGGTCTTATTATGTGCTTGTTCCCCACTGCTTAAAAAATGCTTGTTAAGCACAAGGAAAATCCAAACTTGTTCCTTCTTATTGGGCCTCTGGGACCTTGGTCTGTATATTAATATTTCAGGACTTGACTTCTGAGTCTAGTGAGTTACTGGATCACAGCAGGCCAGGGCACATTCAATTGTCTGCCCACACTGTTGAAATGTGACTAATGTTTGCTCCAATGGCACTCCTTTGGGACACCATGCCTGAATCATGAGTGACCCAGACTGATTAGGAAAAGTATATTTGCTTTGCTGTGTGATCCTTTTTGGGAGAGTAGTTCATCCTGCATTCCTTCCAGGTCTGGCACATGCCGATATTGCAATACATGTTTGAAGAGCAGCATTTACCAATAGTAAGAAATGCATTCTTTGTGTAGAATGAAGAATGTATGTACACATTAGCCTCACCCAATCCTTGCTTACTAAATTTCCCCTTATGCTGGTATATAAAATTCATGTCTGAAATACCCAAGACCATACTAAAACCTCAGAAGCCAAAGTACTATTTCTGGTGGAGCTGTGATCCAGCTCCATCAAATGAATAGCTTTTTGTCCCTATAATTCATTGTTAATGTTTGAGTAGAGCGAGATTGAAGTGATAAGGGCTTTAAGTGCTGAGTAGAACATTCTTTTTCTTAATAAATATTTTTATTTATTTATTCATGAGAGACGGAGAGAAAGAGGAAGAGACACAGGCAGAGGGAGAAGCAGGCTTCCTGAGAGGAGCCCGATGCGGGACTCCATCCATGGACCCTAGGATCACGCCCTGAGTAGAAGGCAGATGCTCAACCGCTGAGCCACCCAGGCATCCCTGAGTAGAACATTCTTGAAAGATGTAAAATTGGTCTTATTTCCTGATCAAGTAAAATCATCAAAAGTGGACTCTCTTTTGAGCATTTATGGTGTGCAAGGTTACTAGGTGCTTTCACATGGATTGTTTCATAAAATCATAAAATGACTATAAAAAACATCACTGTGACATTAATATTTTGGATGATGAAAGAGGCGAGAAAGGCTAAGTGAATTTTTCTTTTTTTTTTCTTTTTTTTGTATGTTCTGAAGTCCATTCTATTATAATTCTCTGGGGAAATAGCACATTTATGCTACCATTAAAAGTTAACAACACTAAAGAAAAATTTCTAATTGCTTGTTTTCATTAATACTTGACAAATGGGTGCCTGGGTGGTTCAGTCAGTGTTTGCCTTTGGTTTGAGAACAGGATCCTGGGATTCTGCCCAGCATCTGGCTCCCTACTCAGTAGGGAGTCTGTTTCTCCCTCTCCCTCTCCCTTTGCCTATCATTCTGCCTACTTGTGCGCTCTCTCTCTCTCTCTCTTCAAATGAATAAATAAATAATCTTAAAAAATACTTGACAGAAAGGTAGAGTTTTTCCCTTTGAAACAAGGGTTCTAGAAGGTTATATTCATATTTACATGCACATACTTCTGCTTATTGAAGGAAAATCGATCTCTTGGTCAACCCTTCCTTTATTCCTCTCATGTTTGACCATGCATTTGTGATCTTTAGCCATTGATTCTTGAGTCACGGTCAGCCAGCTGAATTTCATGTATGTGTCCTTAGTCTTCATGGTATCTCCCTGCTGGGATTGCAGAACTGTTTTATCATCTTTTTTTTTCCAGTCTATCTTGATAACATCAGGGAAAAAATCCTCAAGAAGACAAAGATATGTTCCAGTGTTGTGGACTTTAATTTCAGTAATTGAAGGAAGAAAAACTGTGGGCTTGGGGGGAATGTCTTCATCAGGATTTTTATCTGTGGGAGAAAATGGATAACAATTAAAATGCTATAAGAGAAACACGAACATTGTGTGGTTTGGAACACTCCAGCACATAGAAAAGCAAGGCAAGTTGCCATAAAATTAGTGTTTATTATGGCCTTTCTACCACAGTGGGTTATAAGGTACTGTTCTTTGTTTACATGGGAAAAGAGGTTCTAGAGGTTATATAACTTGACCAAAGTCACAGCTATTGAGTAGCAGGGCCTAGATTAATATGTGGCACTTTTAAAAAAAAATTTTTTTTAATTTTTATTTGTTTATGATAGTCACAGAGAGAGAGAGAGAGGCAGAGACACAGGCAGAGGGAGAAGCAGGCTCCATGCACCGGGAGCCCGATGTGGGATTCGATCCAGGGTCTCCAGGATCGCGCCCTGGGCCAAAGGCAGGCGCCAAACCACTGCGCCACCCAGGGATCCCCAATATGTGGCACTTTTAAACAATACACAGTCATTTGTTTGAATGGGAGTCTATTTCCATGCATACTTGACAACCTATCAAGTTGATGTTTTAGTTTCAAATTGGATCCCATGACTACTTTTGAGTACTGGAGATCTTCTTGATTTCTGTTGTTTTGTTTTGTTTTCTAAATGTTTTATTTATTTATTTGAGAGAGAGAGAGAGCAAGAGCAGAAGTGGGGGTAAGGACAGGGGGACAGGGACAGTCAGACTTTCCCTTGACTAAGGAGCCTGAATGTGGAACTCAATTCCAGGACCTGAGATCATGACCTGAGGGGAAGCCAGGTGCTTAGTTGAGTGAGCCACTCAGGTGCCACAATTTCTGGTTTTATAGAACATCTGATTCTCGTAATTGAACCACTCCAGGATTATGAGAACAGTAGTGTTTAAAGCTGCACCTCCAAATTATTTACAATGCCTTGAATTTAAAAACAAAATGGCAATATTTCCAAAATTTTTAATTTAAAAATATATTATTTTCAGAAATGCTTTTAAATAAACTTATCAAGTAATGCATTGGTCAGAATTCTGTTTTACTTTAGGAAATGTTCACTAAAAGCTCATTTTATATTGAGCTTATATTATAATAAGCTTATATTGAGCTTATTATATATTTATATATTATATTTATACTTTCATTTGAAGTTGAAGCCGGACTAAGAAGACACCATATTTTGATTCTTAGCATCTTCCTCCAAATGTGAATCTGCCCTACAAGCCTGCTGAATTTTGTTGTACTCCATAGTTTTCTGATTTCACCTGCTGAAAAAAGTCATAAAAAAACTGGTATAAAGTTAACAGATATGGTTCCAGAATTTCTTGTAGACATAAGGTCAAAATATATAACAAAACATCATGGTTTTCAAGGGTATGTCATTTGAACGCTGGAATGGTACTTGACTACATAATGTTAATTTAATGATTGAAATAATATATACTAGAGCCCTTTACAATTTGATCTCCAACTGAAACACAAATGTTTAAATCATTTCCTCTTGTGCTAGTTTCGAGTAAGAATAATACGTTCATGGATAATCTCTTAAGAAAAGAATAATTGGAATTCTCTTTTAAAAGGAAACAGGAAAAACATTTGTGAGAATTTCTTCCAGTGCTGCAAAGCTCCTGATTTTTATATTAAATTAGTAAGCAAACAACCCAAGTTTTTTGCTCATACTGTAAAGAGAGTTAGGTAATAATGTGCTTATTGTAACTTTGTACATCTTGTTTGTGGTGCAAATAGCATTTTATTGATTATAATAGTAGGACACTGCATATTTCTCCAATGATATACTTTGTTTTTAATTTAAAAAGCATGTTATATAAAGCAAGATTTCTTTTTCAAGGTATATGATATTTACATAATTTTTGCCTCTGGTCAATACAGTAGTCTTGTTTTCATCTTAGGAAATTTGGCTTTCTTATAGGAATACTTCTGATTTATCATAGTAAAGAACTTGAAAATCAAATCACAAACTTGGAAAATTTCTGGACGGTAAGACCCTATGTTTACATCCTGTTCCTTTTCCTTAGCTAGATTCCTAAAATTTCATTATTTTCAGAATAGAATGAATCTTGAGAGCCATAACTTTCTCAATGTGATAGTTAACTGACCATTAAATAGTGTACTTGATTATATATGGTTGGTGCCAATATTTCGGGTAATTATATTACATTCTTTTTCTTTCAACATTCTTTTTTAAACTATTAACAGAGTATTTTATGTCCAAGGTCATTTCATTGGTGCATACACTAGAAACCAGTTTACAAAATAAGCAAGTTTGTCTAATACATTTATATATGTTCATAATAAAAAAGTTTGAGGTAAATTGCCTGAGTGGTAGGCATTTAATTAAGATGAAGCAGTATGAATTCTATATAAATTAACCAAATGCAACCACATTTTCAATCAAGTGTGGTATTATGTTAATATTGATTCAAAATTTCTCTATTTTTTCTCATTTTTCCACATATTAATATTGATTCAAAACCACATGTAATATGGATTCAAAATTTCTCTATCTTGTTCTCATTTTTTCCTATTAAATATATAATTTTACTATTTCATATATACATGTGATTTTCAAATTTAGGGCATTTCTAAGTATATTTAAAGTGTGAACTATAAATGTAACTGTATTTCTAAATACTCTAAAATTTAATTGTTTTTCTACTAAATATGAGCATGAAGCCCAAATTTGTTAGTGTTAGACATGATATCAATTAAGATAAAAGGTTAAGGTTTATTTTTTTAAGATTTTATTTATTTGACAGAGAGAGAGCACACAAGCAGGGAAAGTGGTAGACAGAGAGGAAGACACAGATTCCCCATTGAGCAGCGCTCAATCCCAGGACCCTAGGATAACGACCCAAGCAGAAGGCAGATGCTTAAACAACTGAGCCACAAGGTACCCCAGGGACTAAGATTTAAAGTACATAGAACAAATACAAAAATACCAAAAAAAATCATATCTTAATTTCTTTTTTTTTTTTTTTTTTTTTTTGTTGCAGAACCATTGTCTATACTAGATACAATTCTTCCCTTGGGTTTGAAATGAGGCAACATGCATGCAACCACCCATTATGTGTTACACAACGTGCCCAGTACTTTATTCACAGTGCCTCATTCAATATTCACATGACCCCTAAATTAAATACATCCTGTTATCCCATCTTATGGATCAGGAAACTGAGACCAGAGAGTAGCTGCCCAGAAAACAGCAAGTGGTAGAGCTGGAGCTCTAGGTCAGTCTGAGTCCAAAGTCCAGGCTCTCTGATGACACCCTTTCACCATCAGAAAAGGAAATAGTTGAACTCACAAAAGTTACCTGTCATGATCAACTTTGTTCTTGGGCCAAACACTGTCAAGACAATTATACATGTTGTGCATGAGCACTTTATGCAAGTCTACACAGACACAGAGTCAGAGCTTATTATAGTACTTGCACAATATGGTCTATGCTGACCTTTACTGTAAGGATTGGAATTAAAATCTCCCCTAAGATTTCCACATCTAAACATGCTATGAAAGTGGGAGATTATAATTATAGTTATTACCATTATTTTAGCAATTTGTTAGTGATGATTCTGTTCTCAACGTGACATTTTAATCTCATGTTACCAAACCTTCACTCACTAATGGGAATGCAGTATTTGGCGGTAACACTTAGATCTATGCCATCAAGCACAGAGATGCATTCCTTCCTTTGCACCTCACTTTATTCAGCTATGTTGGAATTCTCTGAACCATCATCAATAAAAATATGCCTTTCACACATCTATTAAGGCAATCACTTGTCTTATCTTATCCACCACATTTCCAGTGCTAAGAAAATCAAAGGGAAGCTGGTAAAGCCTAGTAATACAGGGTCAGTTCATGGAACTGCTTCACCTATGATGTCCAAACAAACGACACTTTCCTACCAACAGTAGTACATTCTAGACATATTCCAAGATCTCACCAGAAATTTCTACCTCAAACTGACTTCCGGCCAGGTGATGCCGAACGTTTGGCTTGAAACTCCTACTGTGGGCCTTTATGGTGGACCAGAAAATTGCTTTTTAATTTATGAATTCATTTGTGCCTGTGATCACAACCACTAAGTAAGCCAAAATATATATTTTTCGTTTTTGCAATGTTTTACCAGCTTTGTGAAAATTCTTTGAAAACATCTATTTGAATAAATTCTGTAGGGTAGAAACATCCCTGTGAATGTTCTCTCTCATCCAGGCAAAATTTCAACTCTAAGGCTAATAAAAAATGAACAAATTCACTAGACTGAATTTAGAAAAAAGAAATGGCTTATGACATTTTTGGATATGTTTGTGCTGTTAAATGCGTAGATACCTGATATGAATTACCTTCAGACAAATGGCAAATTTATCAATTTTGGTTCATTCTTTTCCATTGGTTATTTTTAGAATAAAATAAATAAGATACACAATTTTTTTTTACAAATGTTTCAATCCAGAAATCCCAAATGGCCTTAACCATTTCTCCCCTTAGGAACCCTCAGTTGCTGAAGATACTTAGCTCCTTGTTAATGTCCTCCATGCTAGCTCAGTCAACTACCTCCAAGGACACAGAGTCACTTACCTCCCCAAGGATCCTGCCGCTATCTGTGACCAAACTGGGAACAAATCCTTGAATTCTGAGCCAGCACCTAGGTTACAGCCCCTGCATCACCTGCCTTCCTTCCCTGTTTATATGGAAGAATTAAAAAATATTTACCTGTAACCCTGAGCACTGTGCCAGGACCAAACACTTTGTTGTACCAGCTATACCCAATCCCACTGTCTCAAAAGCTTTTACAGAAATCTCCCTTTGTATCTCTTTCAAAATTGTGCCTATATTTTTTCAATATCTATATATACATATATAAAATGGTCCCTACTAACATTAAACAAAGATGAAACTTAAGGAAAATCACTTTAGACGTGAACATAGTCAAATATTGATGAACTGACCCCTCCTGCCTTAGGCAGTTTGGGTCTGTGTTTCTCATCTCACTCACAAGGTTGGTGTGTATGATTTTATCTTTTCTGAAAGTTTTCCTGAATCTTCTAAATCTCTTTTTTTAAAAAAAGGTTTTCATGTATCATATCAGTTCTTTTCCTAGTGTGTAATTTAGATTTACTATTTCTATAATTTCAAAGAGGAACAAAAATAGAAATAATATAGTTGAGTATTTAACAAATGAATGTTCAATATGTTTACAGTATTATTTTTCTATGTATTGAGGGGTGGGTATCTGGTTTAATTATAAAGTAAGGGTTTTTCAGAATCCAATCTCCACTGATGATAGACCAGAGGAGTTGTTACAGAGTCTAAAATATTAATGATGATTTCTTAACCTATTTATTCCTCGAAGACTGCTCCTTTGAACTTGAAATTACTCTACCAGGTTCCAGGCCATTGATTTAAAATCCTGTGCTGTTCCTCAGAGGATTCTATTTGGTTTGGTCTTCCTGCAGCTGTCCCAGCATGAGTGGGAAGGCAACTCTGAGTTATGCGATTGAGTCAAGCATATAGTACAACCACTGCCATTCTTCTGCTAGCTGAAATATTTTCAGCAAATTTGATGCCAATAGAGACATACGGTTGAATGCAATGGTGTCATAAGGACTTGACATTTTATAGAAATACCCTTAGAATTACATTGTAAGAATTTAATAAATGCATATTCAACATGACTTACTTGATCATGAGGAAAGGAGGCAACGTTAGTGCCAAGATTAGAAGCAGAAGCATTGTTTTCTACAGGAAGGGTAATACAAATTATGAGCTATTACTAGTTAAGCATCCTACTAAAGAGTTGATTGGAAAAGTCAGGCTACAGAAGAGTAAATATTCAGAACTTTAAAAATGGCTTACTGTTTCTAATAGGGCAAAATGATCTAAGCCAAGCTCTTTGGAATGGATAAGTCTCTACTAGGTCCCAAACTTTCCCACAGTAACTAAGCAGGTGACTTTAGGCAAATAGTGAAACTTCCTAAGCCTCAAGTTCTTTATTGTGAAATTGATATAAGAGGAGCTCTTGTATAGGGCCATTCAGGATTGAGATAAGGCACTGAATCTCTTCAATGTGGCATCTGGTTCTCAATAATTATCAATTAATACTATTATTCTCTTTAATGGGATGGTTTGGGGCCCTTTTATCAAATAATCCGCTAAATAAACTATATGGATTTTACAAGCAGTATTATACAAAATAAGAAAGGAAAAGAGTTCATGAATCCAAGTCATTCTATGTCTCTGGCAGTCAGAAGCCAAAAAACTTATGGCTCAGTGAAATCACAATCTAGAATACCTATCCACTAGGCTACAAGCTTATGAGTGTTGGGACTGTGTCTTGTGCACCTATTTACCTCAAATGTCCAGCATAGAAACTGCCTTTAATAAATGTTTACTGAGACAATAAATGAAAAAACAAGGATATAAAATCATGCTGACAGACTCTCATACTCCTTCTGTGGACTCAAACTGAAGCTTTGAACTCACAAATTCCTTTAAGCTGGATCATCTCTATGTCACAAGACTCAAAGCAGCACAAATTTTTACTAGTTTCAGCCTCCTCTCTAAGAAGCTAAAGTATTAAGAATGAGTGGAATTTACTGATGTTCTATAGTCATTTACTGTAAGGGTTAAACTTCTTGCACTGCTGTTAAAGACAAGATCAAAAGCAAAAAAATTAATTAATTTAAAAGATAAAATCAAAAGCAATTTTGCAGGTTTTGCAAGTTATTAGAGAAAGGAACATTATTCATTAAGAAAAGATCACTACTAATGCTAGAGGTACTTAAAGTGTTTCTCACTTAAAAGGCCATCAACAAGAAAAAAAATCTTGAGCTAATAACTTATACCTATGGTTATAGACATGGTCCACAAGAATTTTAATTTCAAGCCTGAATCTATCTGTGTGTGTGTGTGTGTGTGTTTTCTAAGAGGAGATTTTCAATTTGCTTGTAAGAAGGGAAGTAAATAAACCATTTACAAAGTAGTTTTGTTTCCATATATTGAGAATAATAGTATATTGTGACCAGTAGCTGCAAAGTTACTATCTGTATGCTGAGGTGATCCTACATTGTTTTCTCTAAAAAGCATCTATTAGTTTTTCATTTCACAGGATCAAAATAGAACAAAGTTACTTACCAGGGGGAGTTACTATGAGATTAGTTCCTTCTGCAAATAATCTTGATCCAGCCGGAGTTTTCACACTGGTTAGAGGTTCCACAAAAATATTAGCCTTCTCCTGAGCTTCATGGCATGACCAATAGGTAGAAACCTTGTACTAACAATTTGATCTTCTGGGTTCCCTTGGAAATCCTTGAATATAGACTTCATGGCATCTCTTATTTTATAAATTTTCCTCTGATTAATTGACCCACATGTCTGTTTTCAATGGTGGCAGTAATCATGGAAAAGTGCTGATAGAAACAATAAGAACAAATAAAAGTAAAGAAAGAAGAAAAGGAAGGAAGGAAGAAAGGGAAAAAGAATAAAAAAGAGAAAAGATCAGGACCAAGTGGTGAACAAATGACTTTCTAAATTATCAGGAACAGTGTTCAGAGAATTAGAGGTTTTGATTTCCAGGTGTTCAAGTGTGTGAAACTACTCAGAGATGCATCAAAGGAAAAGACCTTTTGTTCTCATGAACACCAGACCTGGTCCGTTAGCAATTTAGGATTGTATTTCTGAAAAACTATATACTTCAGTAACTGAAAACGCAAATATGTCACCAGAATATGCTTGAGAAATGTGAACAATGTTCTCCATTTTTTAGTAAGCCACTTTTATCATTTGGCAACATGAACCTTTACCAGGTAATGCAAAAAGAGAAAATAATTTACCATGATGACAATATTTACCTGGAATAAAAGGAGAAATTTGTAGAATTCTATTTCCCATAGAAAAATAGATTTTTTATTTAAAAAATGAAAACAAAATCAGTCGTCTGACATATTGAAAGAAGAAACCTTTTGGAAGCTATTCTGTGATCTTCAGAAATGTACATGTAGCCCTGTTTCTGTGGTTAACTAGCTTTGGACAAAGCATTTGCCAACCCTGGGCTCCCACATCCCAATTTGGTATGTCGGCATTGGGCTATGTATGTCCAAAAGGCCCTTCCTATTCCAACAGCTTACGATCTTGTGATTAAGAACAGGAAAGGGTCTGGTGGTTACTCGAGTGAGAAAAGAGTTGAAAGTAATGGAAAAAGTTTTTTTTTTACAGTTTGATTTTGATTTTGTGAGATCCCAGTTGATGGCTTCATCAGGCTTGATGACGTTATTGATTATCAGATAAGACTCTGTTGTCTTTCTTATCTGTCTCCAAACCAGAATCGGGCTAGCCTCACAAGTAACATTGGTTGAGTCGAAAATACCAGTAGACCATGGTCTTCTTGAGGGAAACCTCAGTGTGCTTGCAAGGTATGTGCAATATTCTGTCTGGTGTTGAGGTAAAAGAAACTTGACCCTAAGAGATTGTCATATTGTTATGTTACTTTAATTTGAAATGCAACGTAGAGAAATCAGAGGCACTTGAACAGGTTGAGTGGACCTACAAACCCAAGCCAAAGATATACATAAATACATGGGGTTGGAGTTGCCAGTGACTAATCAGAACGGACTCCAAGATGGAGCACGAATCAGGACTGGGGAGGCAGTGGCAGCCCTTGTTCTTCAGAGGCGAGGACAGGGGAGGAAGTTTTGCTTTAGAACCAATGAAAGATATTCTCAGAAAGATCTGTCTCAGTGTTATTTTATTATGTTCCTGGTATAAAGAGGAGAGAGCCCAGAAGACATTATCAAAACACCCATGTTATAATAATTCATTGTTGTTTTCCTTTGGGGTCAACACCTTCACATTTTTCCTTTAGTTTTTTTCTTCAAAAACACCTATCCTTGGGCAGCCTGGGTGGCTCAGTGGCTGAGCACTTGCCTTGGAGGCAAGCACATGCCCCTGGAGGGCATGATCCTGGAGACCCGGGATCTAGTCCCACGTTGGGCTCCCTGCATGGAGCCTGCTTCTCCCTCTGCCTGTGTCTCTGTCTCTCTCCCTCTGTGTCTCTCATGAATAAATAAATAACATCTTTTTAAAAAACACCTATCCTTGAGCTCTTTTTAAGTTTGAGCTATAGATTTTTTCACTATATTTTGCAAGAGTGTGGGAAGGTATATGGTTATCATGAGGATAGGAAGAAAAGTCGTATTCTGTATAACAAATGAGACAATAATCCAACAGCTTTATAGATAAGCAGATCCCTTTTGTAGATGAGTAGTTTGTAGAAAGTTCACAAAGCTTGGGCATATTAATAATGACTATAGTTATTGCTTTACATGCTATGACATTACTACACTGCTGTGAATGAAGGAAAATCTTGGAGAAAATAAATATTTTGGTTTGTTGCCCTCAACTCTTTTTCTATTCAGAATTTTTAGTTTTTTAAAATGAAAACTATTACTATTTTTTTAACTATTACTATTTTCATTACTTACTCTTTATGGTTTACTACTTTTTTGGAGGACAATGTAAGATGTAAGTTTTAAAGAGTCCCTGAGTTCCTGTGTTAGCTGAGATGTCTAGGTAAAGCAGTTTAGCTAATGGGAAAGGACACTGTGATATATTGACCCTGTGCTAGAACTATCCTGTACGGAACCTCCTTCAGTTTCCAGAAATCCTATGAGAAAGATTTAGTAACTTTCCTGGATTGTGCTGTCAGCTAATTGGCTGAGCAGGAATTCAAACCTAGGTTTATATCACTCCAAAGCCTTGTAGTTTCCATC